AGGGTACCCTCATCTCCAATGCAGTGCCCGTACAAAGTTTTATTTTGGGTTTTGATCTCAATTATTGCTTCAATTTGATGTTACAAAATATTTCGCTATTTACCATTAAAGAAATATGAAATATTACCTCTAAACAAGTGAATTTTATTTCACATACCGGTCTGGTACAAATTCCAGGTCAATATCACATAATTATAACCCCCCTCCCCTCCAAATGAAGGGGAATCTGCTTGTCTATCCGTCATATATATACATGTATAATAAAAACCAGGTGGTCTCTCAGACTTCTGTAAACAGTTTACCCTTGTATAAACGAATTTATTTATTTTATATAAAATTAATCAACGAGATTAATCAATTCTATATAACATGTACAGATTGTTAGATTCTATTTATTATATAATTCGAGAAAGACGCATACATAATAATTATCAATACGTCTTCTCTAGATAGCAATGACTGATAAAAAAGGACACATTGAATTTGTAACTAGTAGTGACTTCGTTGATAATCGTGTAGTTAAGGAGGGGGGATGTTTCAAAAAGGACTTTCGATTTTTTCAGGTTTGCTTCTGTTTTTCCGAATATTCTTGTTTAATTGTTGTTCAATTATTGTGTCAATTTGAAGAATTTCTAAAACGAAGATCGGCATAAAATTCACATAATTTTAACAAATAGTATCAAAAGTTTGCAACAGACCACTTGTTCGATAAGAACTGGCGTCCCACTATTGGGAACTAAAATACTTAAAAGATGGGCTGGGATGTGGTTTCTATGGTATGGTTTAGGAAAATTGGAAAAGGGGTTATATTAAGTAATTAGATAACTAATAAAACGTCACCACTCGTTCAATTATTAGTATTATGTGAGAGTAAATGTGTTGTATTCGGACAAATGGAACGCGAGTATCATCATTTAAGAAAACCCGTCTGCCCTCTGATTGGATGAAATAACATTTTATATCTCTACTTTCAAAATGTTTTCTCTCCACACACGAGTAATACTAGCAATTTAAGATAAATATATATGTGTATATTTAAATGTAACTGTAAACTTACCAGATGCATATTTCCTTCTGCATGTATTTCAGCCCGACGTGCAGGTACATGTACCTTGTTCCTTTGCCGTCTTCGTTAATGATTTATATTGTGACATACGACGTTGGCTTCTTTATTATAACGTTATGTCAACATACATATCTTGCTATATATAATTGATCATAATATGAAAACATATTTATGTCGAGGTTCTTAAAATCCGATATATCTTATCGGCATAATCAACTTAATCATTACGATAAATTGTAATATAACACAATATATCGACTTTTAGTTATCGACATACGATTTAAGACGAGTTTCTACATTTCGACATTATTTTTCTACGTGTAAACTATTTTGACAAGTTATAATATAACACGAAATGTCGACATTTATATGACGATATGTCAAGTAAAATGTCGTTAAGTCGACATACCTTATGTCGATAAAGTGACATTTATTACAATAAGTAGAGGTCCATTTACGTTTCCGTATTACGGGAAATATGCCACCATAGTACAATCGCTAGGCTGATACCTGTCCTTTGAAGATTACAGCAGAGCATCACCCGACTTCAAAGCTAACCAGTTTTTACTGTTATGCGACTGCGAGATTCTTTTGATGTACAGCAAAGTATCAAACTATTCTTCTTGTCTCATCAACAAGGTGGCGCACACTGAGCCTTCAATTTTGTTATGACATATTCCAGGGGTGCACGGCAGAGAGCAAAAGTGAGCGTAACCCCTTGAGTATCGAGGATGCAGACGACAAAATTGTACAATCCTGCTTCATAGTCTTAAAAAATGGAAAGTCAGTTTTCAAGTTAATTTATGTGTAGCTTAAGGTGGCTCCACACATCGTCATCAGCGTCCATTTTCGTGACGTACTTCCGGAAAAAGTACAGCTCGGACTCAATTATCTTGATCGAAATGTGCATGTACACCGTGTCGTCATTTCCGTATTGCGTATCGGGCATTCAAAATCGTAGTGCAAATTATAGTAACACCTGGGCCGTTTTCGTTTAAACGGTCAAACCGATCGGACCACTGTTGTTCGTTTATTAAATAAGGTCGGACCTAGTAATCTGATGCTGCTTTCAGGCGAGCCTTGAGAAAGCCTTGCAAGGCCTGCATACACATTTGCAGGTCCGCCAGGATTTATACCCGAAATTGTTACATTTATAAACGGTCAAACCGGTTGTTCCGCATAAACGAACAGGCCCCTGGTAAACAATAGTACACGTGCGTGCCGATGATATGTCAACACCCGATATCGAGATTTTACCGGGAAATGTATAATCACACGTACTTCAGGAATAAAGCTTTCCAATTCATAGACATAAACAGACTCACGGGAAGACAGTGACATGAGACCAGACGACCTCAAGAAGGTCATATAGGAAACACATGGAATGCGGACGTACCAACCTCACATGTGCATATCACGTGCTTACACGAGTTCATAAGCTCGAGGTCGTTACGATTTTCGCTGTTGAGGGAGTTTCGCTCTGTCGATTAAATCGTGTTTACAAATGTAGTCTACTTACTCTGTGAAAATAATGTTTTGTAAAATATCAAGATACCTATGAAATGCATGTGTGAGTGCACGTGAGAACGGCATACCATGCGATAGCCTCTGGTCACATATGTACCTGACATGTAATTATAAATATACCGTGAGTTAGCGGACTGTGGAATGATGTCCAAAGTGTACATGACTGAGGGTAATTTGGTTCCATTAAAGAACAATAAATTGATAATTTTGATATCATATTTTTGATTTATTTCCATCATTTTTGTTATATGTAAACAGGGACAACTGTCATTGTGTAAATGTCACCCCTCTGCAAAAAGTTCCGATTTTTTTCAAGGAAGATAACTCTCACCCGGATCGAAGTGATTGTAAAATGTAAAATAAATTAATTATAAAGCCATTGTGTATATTTTGTTCAATTTCCCATTCTATATGTATAGATCTTTGTGTCCTGTTTGCTTTTAGCTTGTAGATAATCACTTTTATCCGTACAAATTCAATAAAAAACACTTTGTGTAACATATGTTACATATTTTGCGATAAATTAAATATTTGTAGGGTTAATTAGAAATGCTTCTTTTCATTTTATTATTGTTGTTATTGTTCCGAACAATGTCATACACAAAAAAAACCGGAAAATATTAAAATTGACGAAAATTCAATTTTTTGGTATTTTTTCCAAAAAAGTCCCCAAACTATTGGAGTGTTTAGATTTTCATAAAATCAACTCTACATAGTTGCATAACCATTATATGAAAGTTTCAACGAATTTTGCTGGTTAATTGCGAAAGTGTGGAGTGACCTTAAGTACTGATGTGCATACTATCTGAGGGTGGTTATTTTTAATCCCAATGAGGCAAATTTTTGTGAACAATCCAAAGACCCCTACCTCCGGAGACAAGCATTGGAATGAAAAAGAACCCCACAAAGGACCATAACTCTGTATACAAGACTTAATTGCAGTTTTTAACCCAGCAATCAATCCCAAGAGGTACTGACATGTATATGGTATTTATAGTTGACAGAAAACATGAGATATATATATGCTCCAAACAAAGTCAGTTACAGTTACAGGGACAAACAAAACAAAGGAAAGGAGAAGACCCTAGCACAAGCAAATTTTAGTAATTGTTTAGGTGACATTGTATATAAGATATGAACAAAGTAATTTACAATGTGGCAGATTTTAATTTTACATAGGATTACAGTCGCCTTCCAGCTTCGCGCTAGAGGGAATTTCCAAATGGTGCCTTAACAGGAAGAGAAGTGTGCTGCCCCCAGGGGTCAAACCCCCGATCCATGGTTGTAGTTGTCATTATAGGTCTGTAAAGGTCATCCTCGATACTCCAGGGATTACGCTCACTTTCTCCTCTAGTTCTCTGCACCCCTGGACTATGTCATAGAACAATCGAAGGCTCATGATCAGTGTGCATCACCTTGTGAATGAGACAAGAAGACTACCAGGTGGTTTGATCCTTTGATGAACATAAAAAAATGGTCGGTCGTGTAATTTTTGTTTTTACTGGCTTTGAAGTCGGGTGTCCTTCCTATTTAATCTACAAAGGACAGGTTTCAGCCTTAGAGATTGGTCAGTTTTTTTACCTGAGACCAATCATATAGCTAGTTGTGTGTCTTCAATTTCGCTATGACATATCCCAGGGGTGCAGAGAGCAAAAGTGAGCATAACCGATGGAGTATTGAGGATGTGTATTAAGCCCAGTGCAGAACAACATGGAGAGTAATACTGGTGTCTAAAAGTTAATAATGTGATCTTTTTTTTCAGTTATTTCCTGTCCTTTAGACAGAAAACACTTACTGTTAAATGCAGTCTGAACACAACTGTAAGGACAAATGAGGTACTCTGGAGATTTAAATGTAAGGAATTGAGGAATATTGGTTAAAACTTGAGCCAAAAATTCTTTTCTAAATAAGCATCAGGCGGTGTTTGTGTTTATGCGGTTGATAATAGATTTTCTCTCTCTCAGTGCAATCTAACAATACATTTTGTTAGACAATGGTAGTCTTTAATCATTAATTGTATCATTTACGTATTAATGCCCTTAATCTAATTAAAATTAATTTTTAATTTTTAATAACAGTCTTTCTAGAAATTAATACAACAAAGAATATCTGGTAATAGTATACGTATTAGTTACATAAAAACATTATTTTGATAATTTCTTTCATGTTTTTCAATGCCCATGGAAATGTTTCCCCATAAATAAAACTACGAAAAACCTTAATTTCAAAAATGGTCTGTTTTTGTGGGTTTTAAAAAAGGGTAAACATGGATAAACCATTTAATGTAAATGTGGAAAATATTCTTGGAATATTTTTTTTATCGGATTGGTATTTGCTATCTTTACTCACATCTGATGGTTTCAAAAGAACCAAAAAATCTCTCATATAGTAAAAAAACAACAACATGTTTTTCCAACATGTGACAGCAAAATGCCTTTTGTTGCTGAATTGGAACATTTCTGTAATTTTTAAGATAAGTCATTGACTGCATCAAATCCTTTAAGAAGGTTTTCAACGTTCTAGAAGGTAGTCTCTGTTTGAATGTATGGTTATTACAAACCAGGATAGCCGGGAGGTGTTACATAAGTTCCAACAGTGTCAGTACCTCCTGCAGAAAAGAAAAAAAATATATTGAAACAAGATGTTCTTAAATAAATATTGCATATTTTTCTTAGCAAAATTAGACCAGAGAAATCGAACATTTGTATTTGATATTTTCTGAACATATAGATTATGTTTGGGTTTTTTTTTATATAAAAAACATTATTATTGATTATATAAACAATGAAAATGCTTATTTCTTAAACAGTAAATCTTAAGGGTGGAAAAGCCAGGAAAACAGCAGATAAGGAAAGCATGACTTGTAGAATGATTTTTCTTCGTTTTGTCCATTCATCACGATAACAGCAAAACATGTAACAAATGTTTGTGAGATTTCAGGGCTGGATTGTTTGAAGTAGGATTATAAGCTTTACAGCAAAGTATTATAAACTTTTACCAAATACCTGTTCAAAAAGTTTTGAACTGACAAACATAAAATAGGGTTCAAACTAAACCTAAAATTGTATGCGTCGTGAGAATTCAAATTTCATCTCTTGAGGACAAGAGACAGAGCAATTGATGTTGATTTAAAGGTGTTACTCAGAATTGCATTTTGAAAATTTGAATTAATGATATGTTTAAAGCTGATCAGAAATAAATTACTAGTCCTGAAAAGATTTGCATTTATTAGAAATGACGCTGTGGTGTAAATTATTTCCTACAGAATGAACCTGCAACAACACACCAGTAGTACAGTGAAGTAAATGTTTCTTTCTTCCCCTAAAAATTGTCCCCAGGAAAAGAATCAGCTGCAAGGGGGAAAAAAGGCAGCTACCATCAGTGCATATTGGATTCTTTACATGAGCTGAACATTTCTGCCACTATCATACAAAGATTTTCATGCAAAATGATAAGAAATTAACCGTTTCACCCCTATGTAACTTTAGTAGACTCTACCATACATTGATCTGGATGAGTCCATTATGGTCTACAGTGGTGAAAGGGTTAATAACAATTGATTCAAAGATTTTTCTACAAACCTTTAGAAGCAGATTGTCCTCAAACCGGAGATTTTCTACTATGTTAAAATGGTCCAACCCTTCAATGTTTAAAAATCGTGTTGATAGTCCACGTGTGTCTAATGCCTGAAAAGAGTAGTGACCGATATTATTAATGTCACCAGGTGTATATCATTTACTTACTTATGGTACCATATACAATCAGGAAATTTCGATAAAAATGATGATTTCAACAAAAGATTTTTCAGTTGATATATTCTGAATATATTCTTCCTTCGATTTTGTTTGAATTATCTTGATATGCTAGAGGGAATTTCCAAATGGTGCCAAAACAGGAAGACAGTAGTTTGTATGCTGCCACCAGGGATCGAACCCAATCCCAGACCTCCTTGTCAGATGCTCTACCACTGAGCTAAAGGGAAAATCCCTCTAGCGAATGGACCGTAATCCTATGAACAATTAAAATCTGCTACACTAGCCTAGTATAAGGTCTATATTGCCTTGCCGAGATTATAAAGAGGAGAACCGTTACACTGTAAGCATGGTTTGACACTAACACAAGTCCGAAACTAATAGATTCAGCAAGGACTAGTGAATCACCTAACCCAACTTTGGTCTCTTGTAAAAAATATATTAACAAAATATCGTTTGATAGATAGATTAGGAAATATAAATATTCCTTTAAGAAAACAATTTCAGACATATTTATATTGCATAAAAATTGCGAAAATGTTCCTAAAACTTCAACATATCTTAATGGCAGTACCTTGTAATTATTTTTAAGTCTCCTGGCTAGAGCCAACTGCTTTTAATGTTTCATGCTGGGGATGCTCCATAAGAAATTCTTGGACAAGTGACATTGGAGTAGGACTAGCAAATGATTTATTCGACTTTTCCTTAATGGACTATCCAGCAATTATAGATAGTGTCTAACCCTGGTGAGTCTGCCAAATTTGGCAGTATTCTAATTTTAGTGGCTTCCTTGCTCCCTCGTCTGCATAAGTTCATGTCTAAGCTGAAACAAGACCGCATAGCACTGGCTATTGATACCATAAAATGCAAGTTTTCATTGGATAGAAAATAACAATAACTTACTTACACAAACATTATTGCTATCCGAAGTCATGTCTTTCTTTGTATGTATAGACTTTGAAATGCAGTCATGATCAGCAGTGGTCATATGTACATGTATAAACCTAGAGGGCATCCAAAACCTGCTATAATTTTCACAAACCTTTTCAAATTGTTGACTCTGTTTGATAAATGATGGCGAGTCGAACTCTCCAACTGCAATAAGTATGTTTCTATGGCGACTGAGATGAGCTATGGCTTCCACATGTTTACAAGGACTGTTATTCCAGGCAGATTCACTGGAACAAACATTTCAACATTTATCATAAATGATAGTAACATGACTTAGTATAATACCAGTATTAATTAACTCATTCACCCCTGAAGACACATTTGAACTCTTCCAATTCAAAGGTTGGAACAGTTCATTATGAAATTTCATGAGTGAATGAGTTAAATGAGCATTCCTTGGTAGATGTTAGGGGTCAGAGGTCAAGGATATATAGACATTCAAAACTGACATCATAACCATAAGTTATGATAAAAATTGATTTCTAATTTTTTTTGTCTCACACAATAAACAAACTAATCACCTCTATATATTCACCAGGTAGGTTGGTTACATTATCAGATGATAGGGCGGTGTTAATATGTGGATGATTAGGGCCGAAGACTGTCTTGTCTTGATTCAACCCTCGAAATGAAGATTCAAGACAAGACAGTTATTTAAAAATATCTGCAACATCATAATTTAACAGCTAATACCAGTTACTGTATATTTGCTAATATTCACGAGCGTTTGAATTTCAAACATCCGTAATGCCAGTTGAATTGAGGCTAACTAGGTCTAAACAAAATGTTGAAAAAAAGTGCAACAGAAAAAATTAAATGAGTTTTTACATCCACAAGATTAAACAATTGTATAGTATTTATGAAGGAAAATTACAAAATTAAGACCTTTGAATCTTGAGCTGTATACATGTACGTGACTTGTCGACATACCTTGTCATTTTCAAGGGATCGTTGACATAGGTGTAGACTATTGGACGGAGATCAAACACTCCTGACACTAGGACGGCTCCTACACGGAAAGTCAAATAGAAATAATATATAATCTTTTTATTAAGGGTCCAAGTTACCTTATTGTATCTCCTCATCAAAGAGTTCCATTGTTTCTGTAATATTGACTACCGTAACATTCTGATAAGCCGATAAGCTGATTACTACTACATGTATAAATATTTCTAAAACATTTTAACATTTTATTGCTAAATGTAGCATTTTATTATCTTAATTAAATCGTAGATGTGGAAAGCTTAGCAAATGATGCTTAATTAGAGTCCATCCTATTTTTTTTCAATGACCATTTCGCTTGAAAGAAACCAGATGCTTTTTAGAGGTTGCACTTTGTGATACACCACATTGGAGAGACAATGAAGACAGCGAGACAAAAACAAATTCATTGATTCAAGTTGTGAGGTTATGTACCTTTAACAATATCAGAGGTGAGATTACACTCCGTCATCCAATCCACGCTGAGCATCATGGCGGCTAGATGGGCGCCTGCGGAGTGACCACTGATGTACACACCTCTGTAAGAATGAACACAGACCTTGGTCATATCCTCACTTTTTGTATTGATTCATTGACATTTACTTTGGTTTTTCATATTTTTCTTCTCAACCATCTCAATTTCCATCATATTCCATATTCAAGGGTTCCGCTTTATAAATGCACAAATCTTGTTCTTCACCCTTGGACTTTGTCATGACAAAATTAAAGGTTCTATACATGCCACCTTGGGAATGATATGATCAAGTGTAGCAGAACTAGACTGGGTTGATCGTCAGTGACCAGGTAGCTCAATTGGTAGAGCGTCTGTCTAGAGTTCGGAGGGTCCCCGGTTCGAACCCTGGTCTGGCCGTGCATTTTTCCGCTCCTATTACATCTGGTGCCTGTGACCAACCCTTGTTTCTAGTACTGGGTGAATACTTGTCAAGGGGATACCTGAATTTGGGTTATAAATAGTTGTGTCTTAGGGGGCGAAGTAGCCCAGTTGGTAGAGTGTCCTTCTAGAATTTGGAGTGTCACTGTTTTAAACCCCGGCCTGGCCGTGCATTTTCCTGCTCCTAATACAAGAGTGTGTATTTTAGATTTCAGACTTTTGACCAAGATGAAAGGAGTCATTGGCTTTGAAGTTGTGGTAATTTCCGTAAAGCTCTGCTATAATCTTTATTTTTATAACCCAAAACTAATCAACTAGCTAACCACACCCCTTTAATTTTGTCATATGGCATATTCAAAGGGTGTAGAAAAGATATATAAAAGATTGCCATGAAATTTCTAGATTGAAATTTAATCAACTGTTTCCTTTTCATAACCAGATGTAAAAATAATAACAAAGGTCATTTTTCCTAATGTGTTTTGTTTGATATGGCTAATTATTTTGCTTTATCATAATCAGGATATGAGTGAAAAAATAAAATAATCCGCAACACTGATTTATATACCTTGTCCTTCAAAATGAATCAAGATGTGTATCTGAGGGGTTCACGAGCTGAAGTATGGATCCTAGGGGGCTCAAGCTGGAAACTCGCAGTTAAAGGGATGGATCATAGGGAGTTTAAGATAATTCACGAGTCATCATTGACTATAAGGGGTTCAAGTTGGGTTACTCTATCTCAAATGATGTTTTGGTTGATTCGGGGTAACTGTCTAAATGTAAGGTGTATCGTACCATTTTGGATTCAAGCTAGGTAATAACACATGAGAGGATAATAGTTACACAGGGAATATATAAGGTATTTATTTGGGTACATTATATTTACTGCTTGGCATTGCTCCAAACCAGGAAATTTTCACTCATTGAAACATTTGCTGGCCACCCATAAAATCAATACTCCACCAACATGAACTCCACCCCTCCACAATGGAGTCACTATGAATGGTAAATTCTCTAATTGTACTTCCCGTTTTGGTAATTTTACTCTCATATATTAAGGACAAAAGTGTGTCAGAAACATTTGGCAGTATTGCATATATTTTTCACTTTTATCAAGGTTTTATTCACATGGGTAAATAGCAGTCATAAGTTGGTACGGTTCATTGTTTAATAACACACATTACCTTGACCCACGCTGAACTGCCCACTTAATGATGTAGGTCACTGCTTCCTTAATCTGGGTCACAATTTCATCCATATTTGCTGAAATCAACATCAACATTGGGTGATATTTAGTTGGTGTGTAAATTGATAAAACTCAGGACAAATTAACTTCTTCACCCCTGAAGACACATTTGAACTTTTCCAATTCAAAGGTCAGAATAGTTCATTATGAAATTTCAGGGGTGAATGAGTTAATACATTACTTGTTAAAATCTAGGATATTCATAAGCTATTTACATTGGTGCTATTTAGTAACTGAGCTACATTAAAAACAATTTCACTTTTCTTGACAGCATGGTACCATAATTGTATGGAGAGGTACAATACAGATGTCCTATACTTTATAATAGAATGATGACAGGTACTATGATATACAGTAAAACCTTGTTGTACAAAAAAAATATTTCGTTTGGTTTGTTTGTGTTTTACGTCCTATAAACGTTTAGCTATGGTCATTTAAGGACGTGCCAGGTTTTGGTGGTGGAGGAAAGCCAGAGTTCCCAGAGAAAAAACACCGACCTACAGCCAGTACCTGGCAAATGCCCTATATGCATGTAGGCCTCGAACCGGCCACCCAGTGGTGGAGGGCTGATGGTAGCAGAATGTCAGAAGCCTTAACCACATGGCCACTCAAAAAACTGAGGAAATAAAATGAAAAGGAAATTTTTGAGAGAAAAAAGGGACCTTGAATTATATTGGCAGTAAGTGAGGTTGGAAATATGGAATATAGGGCATAACATCAAGGTTTTACTCTTCTTCTCATCTGTTGAGGTACATAATGTACTACACAACATTATAACTGTCGTTCAGAATATGTTTAAAGCTTATTTTCTCATGAACCAGGTAGTTGAAAGAGTAAATTTCAATGACTTTTTTTAATATTCTGTTTAAATTAATTTGTCATAATATGTCATTAGATGTACAAAATGTATTAATGCCCTTTTTATACGCCCGTCGAAGACGGGGACGTATTATGTTATCACGTGAGCGGGCGGGCAGGCGGGCGAGCGGGCGGGCATGCGAACGATGTCCGCTCGATATCTCAAGTAATTATTAACGGATCAACTTCAAACTTTACAACAAGGTTAATTGCCATGAAACCTCGGACAACTTCGATAACCGCCATTATCCGACCATAATTTGTGGAGTTATGCCCCTTTACTTGCCGAAACAGTGTCCGCTCGATATCTCGAGTAATTATTAACGGATTAACTTCAAACTTCACAACAAGGTTAATTACCATGAAACCTCGGACAAGTTCGATAACCGCCATTATCCGACCATTATTTGTGGAGTTATGCCCCTTTATGGACTTGCCGAAACAGTGTCCGCTCGATATCTCGAGTAATTATTAACAGATTAACTTCAAACTTCACAACAAGGTGAAAGCTCAGACAAGTTCGATAACCGCCATTATCCGACCATAATAATCACATCTTCCTATTGAAATTGTTCTGACTGAGATATTGTCAATCAAAATAGTGTTCCTATACAAGCCACCATCGACAAGTATGCATTCATTGGAAGCAGCACTAACAAAAGTTCACTACAAACATCTGCAAGACTGTCAAACCATCATAATGGGAGACTTCAATGTCGACTTCAGTAAGAAGTCTGCTAACCAACAAAAACTGGAGTCAATTGCTTCAAAAATGGGTTACCAACAACTTATTGCCAAACCTACAACGGACTTCGGCACATTAATTGACTTAGTCTTTTCCAATTTCTGTGTGAACGAACTGCAGGCAGATGTGATTGAAACCTTCTACTCTGACCATAAGATTGTTTGGATTGCATTATAACATGGTAATACTCCAATAATATAAATTACTGTAATTAAAATGCAAGTTTTCTGTTAACTCATTTATGTACCAGTTTTGTTGAACGATTTCTCCTAAACAACAATTATTCCTAAATATTTTTAATGAATTAACTTCAAAATTTATGACGAGGTTAATTTCCGTAGAAGCTTGGACAAGTTTGATAACCATTATTATCCGACCGTAATTATTGGAGTTATTCCCCTTGGTTTCATTAATGCGATGCATGCGTTCCATGATGTTGTATTGCACTCATTGATCTACCAGTTATGTTGAATGATTTCTCTTTTAATATCAATTACTCACAAATACTTCATATATTTCAATCATACAAACAACTGCTCATTCAATGTGTGATGGGCATATTATATACCGCTCGCGGTAACCTTGTTCTCTGTTAACTTACTCGTATAGTTTACCAAAAATATGTATAGATAATAATAATCAAAACAAAAAACAAGATGTCTACATGGTCTTTTTTGTCAGCCTTAAATTTTATCTTGATCATTATACACTATATATATATATCATACAAAATGTACAGAGCTATAAGGACTATCCAACATTCACAGATATGTACCCAGTAATACTAAATAAAACTTTGGTTTGTATTTTTGAAGAAGAAGATTTTGAAGGTGATATATTTAATATTTTATTATTTATTACGTTGTTTTTACATTGTTACATGTTAATTAAATAATATTTTCCCTTGAAAGTGATATATTTAATTTGATGTTCATGACATATCTACACAAACCTTGTGGGGCATACTCATAGCCAACAGGTATCACTACAGCGCCAGCCTTGACTAGGGTAGGGGCCATGAAACTAGACTTCTCCTTCCTGTAGAAAAAGATCAAAAAAAAAAAAAAGATTATACACTATTTATAACATTAATCCAAAGAGAGTCTAAGTGAGTGTAACCCCTGGATATCAAGAATGCGTGTTTGGCAGCTTAAGAATCTTTCCCCACCGAGTGTTGACATTCCCCATCTCATCTCAAGGGAGTGAATGAATCTTTTTCTCTTACCTTGTTGACCGTATCATATACATAATGCAATGTTAATGCTACAGTCTCATTGAATCATTGACGTGACATCATACAATTGTTATAAATAGGGGAATCCCCGTCTCAACCCTGGAGTGAGACTAACAGAATCTCTCACTCCCTCAACCCGAGGGGGGAGATTCTTAAGTTGTCAAATAACTTAAGAATCTTTACCCGAGGGTTGAGAGTCCCCTATCTCACCCTCAAGAGGGTGAATAATTCTTTTTCTTAACCCTGTTTACCCATTATGTATCATATACACAATGTAATGTAAACGTTACAGGCTAAATTCAGGGTTGACATGACGCTGATGGAATGTTGACATGATGTCATTGTATTGTTGAAGTGACGTCATAGCACTGTTATAAATAGGGGAATCCCCTCATCTCAACCCTAGAGTAAGATTAATAGAATCTTCCCCTACCTTGAGGGTGTGACAGAGAATTCTCCAACCTGAGGGTTGGAGATTTCTCTGTTACACCCTCAAGGTAGGGGAAGATTATTTTTCTCCCATCCTATTATTTCAGTCACAGCTCCACCGACAGTAGTCTGCCATGTTTGTAAACAAAAACACATGTGGGGTATGCATATCGTCATTCACTTTTGATGACGTCACAATTACCGAAGACGCATTTTAATGACGTCACAATTGAACACGTGCTAATCGGCACGAGGCTATCTCCCCCTAGGGGTAGACAAGCTGATCATTCCCGGCTAAAACAGGAGACACACCAGTCCAGGGTAAGAGAAAAGGATATCTCGCACCGGGAAAAGTGTGGATAACACCTATCCAGGGTAATTAAGAGAAACATGTATCCCACATACTTTTTCCACTTTGGACACATGAACACATGGGCACATGGACACATGGACACATGGCTCTCATTGAACCTCAATTTCATTGCACAGGATAAACATGCTATATGGTCACCATACGGATATGGAGCTCTTCAGGATTTATTACCATAATCTATGTCCCAATACAAGGGAAGTGATTCTGTGTATCATAAAACAGAGTATATGAAAAACAAAACAAACTCACTCTAAAAATTGCCAGTATCCACCATGAATGTAAACAAAGATGGGAGCATCTGTAATAAACAAAAACAATACTTAACACTTCTGGGATCATATAACAATCTTAGACTTAAAGGCAAACAACGCACTGTCAATAAATTGAAAATTAAATCATTTTGGAAATTAGTCAAAATTTACTAAAATAATACAAATACCTGTATGTGAAATATGCACAATATTGCTAGCTTGATCTATATGTACATAAAATATTGGAATGGAAATTTAAATGTGCAGCTTTGCATAGCGGGTTTTTTCATGTATGCAAACTGATTAAACTTTGGTCTGTGTGTGGGCACAGGTACATTAATAATAAAATTATATCAGCACTGATCCATCTTTTCGACTTAAATGATTCCAAGGATTTTAAATTATACAGTACAAAACTTAAAGTTAAACTTTATTTTCTTAAACAACAATTGTAAAACAAGTGATATCAACTTATATTAGGGGGTCTTAATGTGGGAGGAAACCGGATTTCCCCAGAGAAAACCCACATGGTAGGGAAGGAGACTCCATACTTTTTCATGTCCAGTCGGAGAATTGAACCTGACCGCCTTGATAAAAGGCGATTGAGTGTGCTATCCACTGCTCCTTCCTACCACCCAAATTAACCAGTATATATGCAGATTAATGTTCCTGTACAGAATTACAGAAAATTGATATTATTGAAAAAAATAGCCAAGATATTTAAAATTTTCAAATTTAAGAACCAATTGTTTCTAATTAACTCATTCACCCCTGAAGACACATTTGAACTCTTTCAATTCAAAGGTTGGAATAGTTCATTATGAAACTTCAGGGGTGAATGAGTTAGATGATTTATAGAAAGGGAGACAACTGTACAATGTACTTGTGAGAATACCATGATAACTTTCCTCACCTGAAGACAGAGATTTTGACCCAAATATATCTAACTTCTGTTTGGGTTTCTTTCCGTATGGAATGTCCAGTTCACAATCGAGATCACGTTTAGCATGCCCACTTTCTATAAATAAATAATTGCATAACAGAACAATTAAACTAGACAAAAATATAGCCAGTGTACATTGCTAAAAGCACATTGTATTAGACTACATCACAGTATCTAAAATTCTGAATGCGTTTTTTGTTCCATTTTATTGTATTTTAATATTTTGAGTCCTGGTAAATCCTGGTAAATATTTATATCAAATTTGAAAAAAGTACATTTCTATTATAGTATAGTTCCTATGACAAAACTTGTTTTCTTTACAAAAATAACAACTCTCTGATTTATTTTTAACATACAGTCAAACTTCAATGTTTCAATTGGTGACAGTGATTGTAAGTTAGGACCACAAGAACTAGATAAGTTATCCAGCAAGGATACCCCTAGAAAGGCTGTAAAATAATGTCTTGATAAACTACCTAAAATACCTTACCTATTCCAGTAACCTGGGCATGGTCAGCAACTATGACATCAGATCCCATCCTCTTGGACCATCTAGACGGTGAATACTGATGGTCTAACTCCTGGTACAAAATACAAGAAGATAACACAAGTGGTCATAATTGTTTTTATTTTTTAAATAGAAAAAATTCTAATGAATTTATTTATATAAGCAATGATCTGGACTTTTCTATCATCTGAGCCATAGCATTTGAGGTGGAGCTTGAGTATAGAATACAATACTACAAGGGCTAATGTTTTTGATATAGCATAAATTAGATAACTTTATCAATATTGAATATAGATTTGTGTGATACACTCACTGACAATTCATTAGTATGACATAAATAAGTAAATAAATATACCTTGACAATATTTTTAAAATCAAAGTTAAGTTAAATAAAAGACCTCCTTTCTGTCAGCTGATACAGTGCATTCCTGTTAATGTCATGTTACTTATAATATCATGTTTGTTTAATATCATATTCGCTAAAATATAATTTTTGCTATTATATACAGAATACATATTTTACATGTATATATGTATCAAAATTTACCTTTGTACAAATTTATACATATATATATATATATAAACATATCCTAAAAGTGTAAGACCAATTAGTCTTTTTTCTCAAGCTTATTTTATATCATGTGATTTGTTACGAATCCCTCTTAATATCAAGTTAGTTTCCCAGCAAATCACATGTGAAAACACAGAGAATTTTTCTGTCATAGATGTGACAGTCTATTTTCACATCTTGCCATCGTAAGCTATAGCTTTTAAAGAATGTCCATAACAGACCTAGATTTACTATTTTATGACATTGAGTAGAAATGTCTTACATACCTCACTTGGAGTCTTCTGGTAGGTAGCGTCCCAGTCCATTGATGGCCGGGGGTCTACTATCCAACTTGCGAGCTAGAAAATAAAATAGAACTATATACAAATATCTACTGTATTTTGTGTGCAAGAACTACAGTGTATAATGTAATTTATATTCAATTTTTTTTAAGTTAGACAAATCAGGTCTTAAAAACAAGTTCCTGATTCAAGGTGACTCTTGTTATAAGCAACCAAATCTCATCTATTATGTTAGAGTTGTGAAGGGTCAGATCAAATAATTGTTACTGAATTGGCAAAAAGTAAATACAGATCTCTTCACAGCAAGTGTAACTAATTCACCCAGCC